CTCAAGGCCCCCAGTGCCTCTCCCACTAATCTCCTCATCTCAACAAAGTTGGCCCTCCTGAAGTCTATGGTGCACTGGGCTAAAGGTAAAAGACAACAACACTGTCTTAAAACACTGAAACCACAGTGTGTTTGTTTGTATTTAAATCCCAAAGTCTTTCACAGCACAAAGACAAGTTGACTGGATCTAAGATACCTGTGATACATACTGGTCCTGTTAAGTAGGCAAGCAGACAAGAACTCATTAAATGGAAACACAAAAGTACATTTTGAATAGCTCCTGCACTGTGAAAATCTATCATTCATGTTTTGGTTTTGTATACCACTTGCTTCCCTTTCACTACCCATCTCAGACTGTGAAGCTACTCAAAGGCAAAAGCTTTGAAGAAATCTCCTGGCTTCTTGCCTTGTGCTTTTTCTGAATAGCAGCAAATGTTGGTAGCAAGTTATAATCACTGGAAGTTAAAAAACCTTAAAAGTTTATTTGCAGAATGCTGGCTGACACTTCCTTTCACAGAGCAATAGATTAGATCACTAGTATTCTCTGATCTCCCATGAAGCCATCCAAGCATACTAAGGTTGATTTAGTCTGAAATGTGTAGAAGGGAGTACTAATGAATAGAGCTTCACTATTCCTGACTCTCTAACTTTTGAAAGTTGGGGAAAATGTTTATTATTTCACAGTTAATCACTTGAGGTCAGCCAAGCTGCTCTCTGGCCTCCTTGCAGTGGTTTAAGGGAGTTGTAGGGCAGGCAGTTTGATAAAAGCCCTGCTCATTTCAGTCTTAGGTAGTTTAGTATCCCTCTGCAGCAATATTCTCCCTTAGGGGTATATCAGGGCAAAAAGAGAAAGGAGGTTCAATCTCACTCCACTGATCTGCTTTTGAGAGAGACTGGTAGGCGAGCTTTCATGTTCCCTTGTGTTTTCACAAAGAAAGAAGAGGTGACAGGCCTCCTTACTTGTCTACGGTGCCTGCTGTCACAGGCTCTTTGTTTGACAGGGTGTAGAGATCATACAAATGCCACCAAAATATAAAACTTACAGAATGCCAAATAATAAAATCAGTTAAAATAGTAATGTCAATCCCTTTAGTACCAGTACCAGAGACAAGAGTAACTGGCATTTCTTAGTAATAAGAGTGCAAAGCTCAATCCTAAACATTTGGGGTTTTTTGTAGATATAAATATACAAAGTGGTTTTTAAACAAGTTCAAATTACTGCTCAATTAGCTGTTCTTTGGAATGATTAACCTAAAAAGTACATTTTGAAAGGATCCCTGAGTGTCTTAAATACTTTTATGTGGCTGCCTTTGTCTAGATGGATATAAATCAGCAGGACAAAGAAATGCCCAATTTTGCCATCACTTGGACAAAGAAATCAGCTGGACAAAGAAATGCCCAATTTTTACATCACTGAGTAGCTTTACTTCTACAGGCAGTATCGTGTATCTTAGTGGAAGGACTTACATGGGTAAAGTTATTCAGGTGCATAAGTGTTTGCAGGTTGTGATCTGGCAATTGCACACAATTCAAAGAGTGGTTTGAAAATCGACTTCTCAGTGTTTTATGGTGTTGTTAAATGTTACCTTTTGCACATGCTAAGTACTCTTAAGATGGGAGTGTCCATTCAATAAGGCAGGAAAAGACAAGCTAAGTGCCCTCTGAACACCTCAAAGTTACACTTCTGTAGGCAAGGATTATCTCCAGTTGGTGTTAGGCAGCTCATGTTGCAGTAATGCCAGTCCCTTCCATGGGGCTAATAATGGCAATTTGTGGTACTCCAGTATCCCAGGGTGCGCTGCTCCCACCCACCCCCACAGACAGCATCTGAAACTCTACTGCCTTAGATTGACAGAGCCAGGGAGAGCCAGGCCACAAATGAGTGGAGAAAGTGGAGGGGTAGGTGAATGGGAGGCTGATGAGGAGCTGTGAGGAGGGGAGGGCATGGAGCTGCTGGAAAGCTGGGCAGCTACAAGGCAGACTTGGTAGCCCCTAGCCACACCCTTGCTTGCCAGTCCTCTAACAGCAAGTCAGAGCTGTACATGTTAGAGAGGGTATTAATCCTTAATGCGCAACTGCTCATAACACTTGCTAGTTTTAATATCACCTAACATTCCTTAGAGTTAGCATGTGTGAATTTGAACATGTAACAACACCTTTACTTAAGAAACAGTAAGTCCTAGACCCTAACTCTCATTGCTTTCAGGACCTGGGTCTCAGTGCATACAATTTAAGGGGGGGGGGGTTTGCAAGTTGGAAGTAATGCATTAAGGTTTTAGCCATGCTTCTATTTCTTTCTTGTTTCGTGTTAGCCATTCAATATTGCTCTTCACTGTTTCAATGGCCTGCTTCCTGGGTGCTGCTCCTGCTCCAGCATTAGGATACTTCTCAAAGAAATTTTCCATCTGGAAAAGAAAGGAGAGAGAGAATGGAAATGAAATCATATGCAACAAATAAGTGTGCTATGTAAAGGAAATGCTATTTTCTAAGATTGAGTCCTGCACTCCTGAAGGCTGAGAAGTTTTGCCTGAGAGAGGACTTCAGATCTGAGCTGGTAGCATTTGAATAATTCTGTAGTAGTCTAAAGTGTGTTAGGCATTTTTGAGAATTAAAAGGACAAATTTCTTGCCTTGAATATCTTACAGTTTAGTGTCTTAAAATTGTTAGAGATATTGTGTCCATACCTGCCAAAGCTGAAATTCAGTGTTGAAGGTCTGTGTTATTGATACTATTCGTCCAAGATTTCGATCATTGATAGTGTATCTGAAAAAAATACATATATTTGAAAAAAGAGCAAGATGGTTCCTTTAAACACTCCAGAGAGCACTTAGCTGTTTAACTGATTAGATGAAATACATGTCACCCCAACTCTCTAGACGTTTCCAGAAATATTTGTAAAATCACAGTACCAAAGGTTTTTTTACTACCCTGCAATTTATCTGCACCTGGAAAGATCTCGCTTGTATTTGAAGAACATTTCCAAGGCCCTACTTCCCCCTTGGAATCAAGCTTGTAACAGAAATCTCTATGACAAAACATTTATGTGCTTATATGCCTTTGTGAAACTAAGACTATAAACCATTTGAGATCCACTGTAAACTCGCAAGTTTGCTTTGATTCTGTGCCCTTGTGTACTTTGCACACAATTTCTTTTTGTAATGTCCAACTCCTAGAGCAGGACTGAAAGTTTATCTCAGGAGTCAGTGTGAGTAGATAGGTGAAAGCTGGATGCTGAATTCATTGTTACCAGAAAAAGGAATGAGAAATAAATCTGCAAACCTGATTGCGTAACAGTGTGAATAAAAAGAAAGTTCTGTAATAGCATAGAGTGATGATCAACTGCTGCAGCGAATGTTCACACACCCATTCCATCCACTCTATGGTGCTTGCTTCCATTTTCTTCTGTCACTGGCTGTTAGGGATCATTTAGGGATAAAGTAACCCCTTATTAGCATCAGGTCTACCTGAGTTTCTTAAATGCCTATCAATATTGTTGGCTATACACGCTTGCACTGTGAGAAAAGTACAGCAAAATCCAAGAACACTATAATGTACTTTCTGTCAATCTCCCGTATTCATAGATTTCATAGATTTCATAGACTTTAGGGCTGGAAGGGACCTCGGAAGATCATCAAGTCTAGCCCCCAATAAAATATGTTGATTTTTAATGAGTATTTTTATTAATGTGAAATGCTTTCTGAACGATTATTTTGGTGATTTCCCCATCTAGCATGGCAAACATCACAGTTCATTAAGGATGACCTTCAATTAACCTGCAAAAGATCTGCATCTCTGGGGCCTTTGTGGGTGGATGCAATTTTTGGAAATTTGGCTGGTGTAGACTAGGACATGGGTCTACAGTACATTTTCCATTGTAGCTGCTGCTCAAGCCTCTGAGTTGATATAGCAGATGCAGCTCTTTCCCATTACTTTCATGAGTATTTGGGACACAAAGTCTTTGCAGATTATTTTCCTCCCACTGCAACTCTATTTTTGCTGACTGGTTTGAGGTGTTTCTCCCATTTTTTAGGCCAGTTGGAGTTGTAGCTAGCAAGGGATGTGAAAGGTAACAAGAAAGGTTTCTACAAATATATTAGCAACAAGAGGAAGGTCAGGGAAAGTGTGGGTCCCTTACTGAATAGGGGAGGCAACCTAGTGACAGATGATACCATGCTGTGGGGAGCAGTAGATACACTGGAGGGTAAGGATAGGATTCAGAGTGACCTAGACAAATTGGAGGACTGGGGTAAAAGGAATCTTATGAGATTCAACAAGGACAAGTGCAAAAGTCCTATACTTAGGACAGAACAATCCCATGCACCAGTACAGGCTGGGGACTGCCTGACTGGGCAGCAGCTCTGCAGAAAAGGACCTGGGGGTTACAGTGGACAATAAGCTGAATATAAGTCACCAGTGTGCTGTTGCTGCAAGAAGGCTAACAGCATACTAGGCTGTATTGGTAGGTGTGTTGCCTGTAGGTAAAGGGAAGTAATTATTCTCCTCTATTCAGCACTGGCAAGGCCACATCTTGAGTACTGTGTTCAGTTTTAGGCCAACCACTACAGATAGGATGTGGACAAATTGGAGAAAGTCCAGCAGAGAGCAACAAAAATGGTTCAGGGGCTGGGGCACATGACTTTTGAGGAGAGGCTGAGGGAACTGGGCTTATTTAGTCTTAAGAAAAGACTAAGAAAGAATTTAATAGCAGCCTTCAACTACCTGACGGTGGGTTCAAAAAAGGATGGAGCTAGACTGCCATCCAAAGGTGGCAGATGACAGAACAAAGAGCAATGGTCTCAAGCTGCAGCAAGGAAAATTTAGGTTAGATATTAGGAAGAATGTTCTCCCTAGGAGAGTAGTAAAACACTGGAACAGGTTACACAGAGAAGTTGTATTTCCATCCATGGAGGTTTTTAAGACCCAGCTGGACAAAGCTTTAGCTGGGATGATGTAGTTGGGGATGGTCCTGCTTTGAGCAGGAAGTTGGACTAGATGACCTCCTGGGATCCCTTCCAACCCAAATTTTCTATGATAAGAAGGTGATTGGGAACAGTCAGCATTGATTCACCAAGGGCAAGTCATGCCTGACCAACCAGATAACTGGCTTTGTGGATGTGGGGAAAGCAGTGGACATAATATACCTTGACTTTAGCAAGGCTTTTAATAATGCCTCCCACAGCATTCTTGTAAGCAAGCTGTGGAAGTATGGGTTGAATGATGAACTGTAAGATGGATAGAAAACTGGCTGGATTGTCAGGCTCAATGGATCAATGGTTCAATGGCTAGTTGGCAGCCGGTATCAAGTGGAGTACCCCAGGGTTTGGTCCTGGGACAAGTTTTTTTCAATATCTTTATTAATGATCTGGAAGATGGGATGGATTGCACCCTCAGCAAGTTTGTGGATGACACCAAGCTGGGGGGGTGTAGTAGATACACCAGAGTGTAGGACTACAATTCAGAGTGACCTAGACAAATTGAAGAATTGGGCCAAAAGAAGCTTCATGAGGTTCAACAAGGACATGTACGAAGTCCTGCACTTAGGATGGAAGAATCCCATGCACAGCTACAGCCTGGGGACTGATTGGCTAAGCATCAGCTCTGCAGAAAAGCACCTGGGGGGTTACAGTGGACCATAAGATGGATATGAGTCAGCAGTGTGCCCTTGTTGCCAAGAAGGCTAACAGAATATTGGGCTACATTGGTAACAGCACTGCCAGCAGATCAAAGGAAGTAATTATTCTGCTCTATTCTGCACTGATGAGGGCACATCTGGAGTACAGTGTCCAATTTGGGCCACCCCCACTATAGAAAGGATGTGGACAAGTTGGAGAGAGTCCAGCAGAGAGCAACAAAAATGGTTTGGGGGCTGGGGTACATGACTTATGAGGAAAGGCTGAAGGAACTGGGTTTATGTAGTGGTTAAGCACTGGAGAAAGTGCTTAATCACTGGAGGTGGTAGAATCTCCATCCTTGGAGGTTTTAAAGACCTGGATTGACAAATCCCTGGCTGGAATGATCTAGGTAAGGATGGTCCTGCTTCGAGCTGGGGGTTGGACTAGATGACCTCCTGAGGTCCCTAACCCTAATTTTCTATGATTCTATGATTTATGTGAAGCTCTTCCACTGGTGGCGACTCACACAGCTGTCCTGGGACAGCTTAAATGGTGTGGCAGGGCTTATGAGGCCCTTAGAATCCTTCAGGGATTTTTCAATAAGGACCTTTTTCTGAAAGGTTGAGAACTGTGCAGGCTGTGCCAAACTGAGCACTCAGCATCTCGGATAAAGTGACCAACCATCTTGAAGTTTCTGGGACAGGTTTAAACTCCAAGGCTGTGTCCCAAATTTGAAAGATGAACCCTGGGGTTACTGATCCCCTCTGCCACAAAATGGTCCCTGTAGGACCAGGCAGCATCCTGCTGCAGCTGGAGAGGAGGATAACACACCCTGTTATCTCTTCTGTCTCCTGACCTGGAAAAAGCAGAGCCATGTTTGCCTGTTGTTGCACCCGAGAAAATTAGCTCTGCAGCCATATAAACTAACTAGCATTGCTGGGAAGTAGAAATAATGAGTCTGAGCACAGGGCCACATGAATGCTATGATATGGTTTCCAGTTCAGGAGATAGCTGTAGGTTACTTTCTGAGCAGGAAGCCATATAGCTGTGTTGCTGAACAGCTGTGCCTGCTCTCATTAGCTCTACCTCTCAGCAAACTAAGTGGCCTGTCTCCAGTGCTGCACTAAGGCAGCTACACTAACCAGAACAAAAGGCAGGGTTAAGGCCATGTTGTATGTTATATTTAGGACACATTAACTGCACTTAAAATGCAAGCATCCATGGGTGCGTCCAGATGAGAGTTGTCATGCAGTATGTGGCACCACAAACAAATTTGCAGTGCCACATATCACACAGTCTAGTGTTGTTTACACTGCAAGGGATATCCAGGGGTAAAAAAAAAAACATGGAAAAAAACCCAGCATGGCGCACGCTCAGGCAGCAAGCGCTGCTGAAAGTGGAGCTGGGCCGCCTGGAGCCATGCTCCACTGCCAGCCAGGCTCTGTAGAGCAGAATTGCTGTGGCTGCACCCCTGGGAAGCCCCCACAGCCCCAGCTAAAGCTTCTGGGATCAGCACAGTGCTGGCCCCAGCCTCCCCCACTGCCCCGAGGTAACTTGCCACATGCCAAAGTGTGCTTGGCTTGGGCGTTCCCCAAAGACAAGCAGCTGTGGCGCAAGGTGCTCCATTGCTAGTTGTCCCTGGGGAACTAAATGTCCATGCAGGTCTGGATGCGCCCCCTGTGTTCAAGCAGTAAAATATGTGCCAAGCATGATCATATCTTAGCAAAGTTAAGACTTTTGCTGAATCATCCCCGCAAGCCAGGGACAGGGACTTATGAGCTGAGCAGTGCTGGACATGTAGTGGGGAGGATGCACATCCTCATGGGTCCTGGTGCTGTGGTGCCTGGTGCTGGAGTCAGTGGTGGGGAAGGGGTCACAGTCAGCTCCAGCCCTATCTAGACTGGCTGGAGATCTTAGCGAGCATTACTGGGCAACTACTCCGAACACAGTCCAACTTTTCATATGGCATGGTAATGCTTACTAAGTCTCAGATAAAATGCATGCTAAGATTCCTGTCAGAAAAAGCCCTTAGATGACAGTACTCATGGTTTCTGAGGTCTGTGGGATGGCTGGGACTATGTCCCAGCTTTTACTCTCCAAAAGCTGTTTGATTTGGTTATTTAGTCTAAGCAAAATATAAACAACACAGGG